CTCTCTCGCCATCTCTCGGACGTCCATTCCCTGTGCTCTTTTCGGTCTCGTGCGCGTGGTTTTTCCCGCCAGATGATCAAGGATGCTCCTCGATGGTCCCCGCCGAAGGAAACATGCACACGTCCGAGCGATGCCAAGCTCTCTGTCCTCGCCGTCGTCCTCCTCCTGCTCCTCCTCCGCCCCGTGCTGGCGGCGCTCGACGTGGAACGCATGCAGCACTCAGGGGGGCACACGGGGCGGCCACGAAGAGTCTTCGGGGACCGACGAGGGCCCTCGAGGAGCCCCTCGCCCAGGGAACGGCTGGGCGACAGAGGCGTGCGCCGCTGCCTTCAGGCCAGGCGCGACTCTCCTCAGGCAGGTCGACGCGCGGCTTTCCTCGGCCAGCGCCAGAGGAACAAAAACTGCGACGCGCGAGTGCCCACTTCCCAGCTGGCTCCACCTGGCGTCTCGCGGATGAAATAGAAGAAGAGACAACCACATAAACATAAACTTTTGGCGCTCCGCGCGGATTTTTGGATCCGCGCCGGACCCCCCTCCCTGGCGCGCGGAGCGCGCCAGGGGCGGCGCGGATCTAAGAAATCCGCGCGGAGCGCCAAAAGTTTATGTTCATGCGTTTTTTCCCCCTTCGATCGTACAGTCGGGACTGCTTGGAGAGGACACGCGAGAGGACACAAGACCCTTCCGAGGGCCACGTTGCCATAGGAATGCAAGAAGCCGTGGGTCGCGAAACCCAGGACACAAGGGTACCCTTGACCTGGCAGGGTCGACCTGCTAATCTGGGCCGGCTGTAGCCGGTGTCAAGTTGGCTCCGTGTTGGCCCAGCTGCCCCCTGGTCGGACAGGATGTCGCGGATCAAAGGAATCTGCGCGGAGCGCCAACAGTTTATGTTTGCGTGGTGCTTTCGCCGCCTGGACTGGCCTCCTCCGTGGGGGACCGGCGCGGATCTACGAAAGGCGCCGAAGGCGCCGCCAACGGGGCCCAGCGCGGATCTAAGAAACCCGCGCGGAGCGCCAACAGTTTATGCTCATGTGGCTTTTCCCCCCTCGAGCGCAGACGGTGCCAAGTGGGCACCGTGCTGGCCCGCTTGCCCCCTCCTCCTAATCCTCCTCCTCCTCCTCCTAATTCTCCTCCTCCTTCTCCTCCTCGTCCTCCTCCTCCTCCTCCTCCTCCTCTTGCTCCTCCTCCTCCTCCTCCTCCGCCCTCCAGCGCCGCCGTTTTTGCTCCCTCTCTCGCGCGCGCGCGTTCCGAGGTGACACACTTACTTGTACGGCATTCACTCTCATTACCACGTGGCTGCTGGCTAGCAGCGGATGTATACACTTGCTATTATCTCTTTCAATTGCCTTTATGGATCGAATGCGCGGCTGGAAGATATAGCAGCAGAGGCCAGCAACTTTGGGATGATTGGACTGCAGGGAACATGTTGCAAGGCGTTCATGGGAGAGTCTTATCGCGCCGCACGAATATTGAACAGAGTTGCAGTTGTGGCGGGCTGGAGACATAGTAGATTTAGCAACAAAAGCGCAGGGTGCACATTCATGTTACCACCAAGGTGGCCGCAGAAATGTATACGACGAATAGACACGCCACCGACTCAATTACAGGGAAGGGGTGTGGGAGTGTACTTCAGATTCAGAGGCATGTCTTACTATGCGATGGCGCTGTATTATCCACCGAAGCCGTCGGACAGAAAAGCTATACCTAATTACCTATCGTGCTGTGAGAAACTGACGAGATGGGCATCCATATCGATCGGCAAAGCCCCGCACTCAGCCATCCCGTTCATCATGACAGACGTGAACGATGGAATGGGCATTTCTAAGCAGGACGGTCAGTGGAGGAACATAGGTGAGCAGGCGATAGGAATTGGAGTCACACAATAACGACATGTATGCGGAGCTGGGCATAGACTTCGCGAGCTTATGGAGGAACACGGTCTGTTTTCCACGACCTCGTTCCAGGGAGTTGCACACACCTTCTACGATGCGCATGGAAACAAACGCATGATTGACCATGTCATTGTCCCACTATCGGTAGCAGCTAAAGTTCGATCTCACGGACCGTTGAAACGAATGGGCACCAAGCTACAACACATACCTGTCGCTGGGCATCGTGATCACCTCCCCGTGCACGCTCGGATCGAACTCAACATTGACATTGATGAAGAGATGACCCCGGCCTGGCGAGCTCCAGATGGAGCAGAATCTGAGGAAGTGAAGTGGGGCAAAGACAAGTTAATGGCCGCTCTCCGAGGCACACGTGTGCGATATGATGTTGTGGTTGCTGTCGAGTCAAAGTTGTCGGAGCTGAACCTCGACACCCGCGCCGACGACACGCCCGAGGAGCTTCCCAAGACCCTGGATACCGTGATGCGAGAGGTGGGAAAACATATCTTCGACCGTGAAGCCAAGGACCACGTCGACACCGACAAGCAGGAGCGCCTTCGGCTACTTGCGCAGAGGCGCGAGCTACGAGCACAGTTGCATGAAGGTGATCCATCGGAGCTCGAGGAGTGCACCACTGCGCTGAAGGCCATCACCCAGACATGCCACAGGCAGCGCAGGCGGGCGCACGAACGAACGCAGGAGGCACTCCTAGAGGAGAGATCTGCGAGGCACGGAGGCGGCGCAATTTGGCCGAGGTCCGTCGCCCGAGCCTGCGACTGGCCGGCGGCCGTTTCGGCAGCGGCACGCGTGACTTCTCTCGCGCCCGCAGGGTGCGCTCCCGACCAAGGACGAATGGCTGGAGGCCTGGTCCAAGACCGGAGGGGAAGGGGGCATGTTGGCGTCGAGGTTGGAGTGGGGGGGACCTGGCGCGGGAAAGGGAGCGACTTCGGCGACCTCCTGCCCCGCCGTTGTTTCGGCGGGAGCGCGTGGACCAATCCCATAACGATGCCATAAGGGGATCTTACGTCGTTTCAGGCGTATTTAAAGCTAGCTTCTAAAAGAAAGGGGGTTCCTAGGCGGTCCTTGCCTGTGGAGTTGTGGTGTTTGGGGGTTGGTGAGCCTCCCGAGGAGGACCCTCGTCGCTGTGCTGGACTTGGCTCGAAACTTCCTGCGGTGTCTGGAGAACAAGTTAGAAGCTGGTTGCATCGTTTTTTTCCTAATCAGGCAGTCTGGTCTTCTCCCGAGTTTGTGGTCTTGTAGTCAGGGGTGTGCCCTTCAGAAGAGCGCGTTGCCTGGCCCAGCTGGGCGTCGGGTTGTGCGCGGACGGGACCCGCTCGGCAAAGCCTTCCTGAAACGAATAATGAAGCGTGGACCGCCGTACCAACACTCGGAGTGGGACCACGTTTGTTTGCGTCGTAGGAGGAGAGAAGATGCGATCGCCGCCGATCGTTGCACTTCTTGGCGACTGAACACGGCAGGTATATACTGGATTGACTCGCTTAACGATTTAAGCAATGCCTCTGCCTCCCCAGCGTGGCCAGCTGTTGATGAGGCCGTTTATGACATGGCCATGGGGGGGGAGACACGGTTCTGCCACCAGCGGCATAGGCAAGCCTGCACTAGCATCCCAGCGGAAGGAGGGCACCTCCTGCTGAGAACGGGGTGCGGCATGCTCCGAGGGGGTCCTTTCGCTGTGGAGTCGTTCGTCCACGTGTTTCGTCCTCCTGTCGATCGCTGGGTCTCGAAGTGTCGCGAACAGGGTCCCCAGGAGCGTGCTCTAGAAGCACAATGTGATTTTTTACAACCGCCCAAGGTCTACCTGGGACTTACTAAATTCGCCGACGGTCTTTTGAAAAAGCTGGTCCTAGGCCCGCGCGTTTCCCTGGACCTGGCTAGGTGGACTGCGCAGAAGAATGATGAGTTGCTTGACGCTGAGCTGGCGAAGATCGGCCCCAAACGTAACCCCAAGAAGCAAGAGGCTTTCTTTTCGGTCCCGCCCTCAGCCAAGCGTAGAGTAGCTAGCATGTTGCGCAGCATGGAGTGTAGCTGCGGAGAGGCCGTGAGATATCTGGGACCTCGGCTGACCTCCACCCAAGCTTTTCAGAATGAACTTGGAAAACGGATCCAGGCCGCTAAGACGGCATATTTCAGACTTGGGCGTTTCTGGCAGGCGCCTAACATTCCATATACATGGAAACGCTGTGTTCTGTTATGTCATGTAGTTAACTCCGCCCTTTCGGCGGTTGAATGTTTCATTCCAAGCTCAGGCCAACTTCGCAAGCTGGAGCTCGCTGTGGCTGGCCTGTGCCGCAGAGCGATGAGAGGAAAAGCCAGCTGGGAAGATGCGCACAACGTTCGTTCGCTGTCATCCCAACAGGTTCTGTAATACTGGAACATCATCCCGCTCTGCGTCGAACTTAGAGTCCGACGGCTTAAATGGTTTCAAGGTATTTGCTCTTACCCCGAGTCCCACAGACAGCTGATAGCTGCGTGATTTGGCGTTTTCCTCGGAGAGAACGTATTTGGCGAACAGGCTTCAATTAGACCCGATGCTAACCCGTGGGCTTTGAGAGTTCAGGCAGACATCGAGCAGCTTGTGCTGGTGCCCGAAGAGGCAGCTGACCTCTGGGCAGATTGTCAAGGTCGGTTTTAAAAAAATGTTCGAGCCAGAATTCGCTGCGCGCTTCCGCCGAGTTGATACGAATATCCTCAGAGGAGCCGCCCTCAGTGTGCAGATCTCCCCAGGCTCCGTTGGACCCCAGCCTCCGGGAGATTCGTCGGTGTCCCCCGAGGCCGAGGAAGCTGGAGCCCTTCCCACCGAGCGCTTGCACACGTGCCCCTGGGAGGACAAATCTGGCCCCTGTGGAGCCACCTTTAGCTGTAGGCCTGGACTAGCAAACCATGTACGCATTGTACATAACAGTGTTAAACTCTCGCATGCTCTCACTATAACGAATCAATGTATAGTATGTGAGGAAATCTTCGGTGAGCGCCTCACGGCATGCAAACATCTGGAGGGGGCCCTACTGCATGGACGATGTCTTCGAAACAAAGCGTCGACGATAACAGAGCTCGTGGTCCCAGATGCGTTGGTCTGTAGAGTTTGTGGCTCAG